ATTCTATTCTATTCTATTCTATTCTATTCTATTCTATTCTATTCTATTCTATTCTATTCTATCAGCTATAGCCTGGGGAAAAGCATCAGAAAAAAAAAGGAAGCTTCTTTTTGGGAGTGAGAATAGCGTGAAACAAAATTATCCAGCCATCACTCCTTTTAGTAGTATGAAGTTTTTGTCATACACAATCTGCCTCAGAAATGGGGGATGTGAAAAACTGCTTTCCATTTAATAAGCAAAGCAAGAGAGAAAGCAAAGGTCGCTCATTCTGCACAATCTCATCAGGAAGACAAGAGAAATGAGTGCCATCTGGTGGCTGAAATGACCAGGGTGGTGTTGTTTTTTGCAAAATACTAGGCAGCTACCTTGGATACACCCAATTGCTTCACCATTAGCGTGTCTGTCATTAAGGAGTTTGAGATCTAATCTGAGGAGCTGCTAAAAGGGAATTTAATTCAGACACAGAATTGAGCAGCATCCTATAAAGAGCCCATAGCAAGCTTCCAGTTCAAATGGGTTGCCTGTTCTTTTCAGGCTTACTTCCTATATTTCTTTCAGTGCAAACTTTTGTGTGTGTGTGTGTGGGGGGGGGTTCCAGCAGACTTTGGAACTTATACCATCACGGGGAAGCAACTGAGAAGTGGGGTTGAGGGCAGTTTCTGAATGCACACCGGGTGATGAATAAAGGTATTTATTGCAGGTAGACTTGGGAAAGCATTCCCAGCTTGTACAGGGCAAAGGCTAACTCATAAAAATGATATTAAAGCTAACACACTTTCGAAGAAGAGGAGGCTATTCAACACTGAGCCGAGGAAGCCTTGTCTTATCAGATGAAAAAACAAGCAACCCCCCCAAAATATCTAAACATGTTCTCTTTCTGGTCTCACTCATCACTTATTCCTCCATTTTCTTTTAAACAGAGACTGGCACATGTAAGAAAACTACAGCTATGTGTTCTTTAGAACTGCTCCCTTCGCTTCTCTAACAAAAGGCAGACATAGCATGCACTCTTATAATCCTGTGCAGGAACTGGGGTGGAGAGGCAATGAAAAACATGGCAAGGATGAGAAGGTGGGACTCTGGTCCTCTGTCCTCTGTGATATTACAGGCACTCTTCAAAAGGCAAGCAATGCCCAGAGTCCGTCAGAGTTGGGCAGCTATAACAAATTTAAATACTGTTTTTTTTTAAATCAATATAGAAAAATACTCTGGGTCTGCTGGTTCGGAAATTACATCTTACTTTTCAACGCTATGATATTGTGGTCTAGAAAATGGTTCAGATATTTGATACCAAGATACCAGCGTTCAAGTTCTGAACGGAGCTCACTGTATAAATCCTCCTTTCCCTGCAACCTACATCTCAAGATTACTGCTGTGGAGATAAAGCCATTTTTGGCCCCTTTAGCTTTCAGAGGAAAGATGGGATATACAATAAATGCAATAAAGAGCAGCAGTTAAAATGACCACCACCACCATAATAATAACGTCCTTCTGGAGATAACATTTGGATCTCATGCAACCATGTATACCTGTTATATACAATTGCTGTACCTTGAAAGTATCTTAAAGCAGTGGTCCCCAACCTTTCTGGTTTAGCAGCCCAGCAGGAGGGGGAGAGGGAATGGTTCCGTGTGAGTGGCAGGCATGCGCATGAGTTCAAGTGCCCTCAGCTCGTGCAAGTGGAGCTGCGCGCACCTGTGCTCACACCTCCCACTTATGCAGCCCGGTTCAGAACCAGGCTGTGGGTCAGGGGGTTAAAATGTAGCCAGAGATAGTGGTGGCAGTGTGCAGTAGTGTAATAATATGTGGGAAAGACCTGGGCAGAACAAGCCAAATAATGCTGCCAAGGGAGCAATCAAATAAGCAATTAAATACAGCGTGCAGCTAGATAATTGGGCAGGCAAGAGGCTCAGAGAGACCCTTCCTAGTTTCTTATGTGTTAAAGGAGATGGGAGGAGGGATTATACTTTCAGACTGGCAAGATTCTGTTAATGTAGCCTTATAATAAAGTAGAAATAGTTCAAATGGTTGTATTTGAGAGCGCCTCGGTGGCGCAGTGGTTAGAGTGCAGTACTGCAAACTGCTTCTGCTGACAGACAGCTGCCTGCAATTTGACAGTTCAAATCCCACCAGGCTCAAGGTTGACTCAACCTTCCATCCTTCTGAGGTGGGTAAAATGAAGACCCAAATTGTTGGGGTCAAGAGGCTGACTCTGTAAATCGCTTAGAGAGAGCTGTAAAGCACTATAAAGCGGTATATAAGTCTAAGTGCTATTGCTATTTCCTGATCTCTTCTACCTAGTAAGGCTGGCAAATAGTTTACTGTGTTACAAGAAAAGTCCATCTATTGTACCTTGCTTCCTTTAAAAGGCTTCCAAAAGTGGTTGATAAGGTCCGTTTGGGTATACAATACATATGTGAATAGGCAAAACAGAAATAGACATAAGAGAGAAAAGACAGCAAGATATAGGGTTTTTAATACCATATTGTACTGCTGGGGTGGAGAGACTGGCAGGAGGACTTGGGGACAGGAGCTTGGAGAGTACTGAACTGGCTGCGGAGAGGACTGCAATGCTGGGACCGGCTAAGAGATGAGCAGGAAGGGAAAAAGGAGGGGAGAAGGGGAAGAAACAGGCATGAGAAAAAGGGTGGGGAGGGAAGGAGAGGAGAAAAGGTAGAAGGAGGTTAGTAACTGTATGTACATACAGATAAGCAATTTAAAAGCCCCGACAGCAACTTGAGCTATTCCCTCACCCGCTCCCCATCAATTTTAAAGAGAAGAAAAAGAAATGGGTGCTCTGGAAAATATTTGCTCAGAAGGAAAGGACAGGAGGAGTTGCATGGTCTTGGATCTCTGGAGAACCTGAGATTATATACATATGTATTTTTTCCTAGCATTTTCCCGCAAGGCAAGTACCCCAGCAGAAGCAATTGTGCATACGTCCAGCCAGCCGCATAAAAAAATAATGAGTTAGGTTATTGAAAACACTGCAAAGGTCTTGAAAACACCGCAAAATTCAGGAAGCAAGCTTGCCCACCTGTATCTTAGACCATCTTCCTGATTCTTTGCAAAGGACAGCTTTGCAAAGTAGTTTCAACTCCAATCAGAACAATGGTTTGTTTCTATGTGGGAATTTTTACACAATCCGCAATTCTACCCAGCTCACTAGGCTGGATCAATATACATTTAAAGCAACTCAGAATAAATGAAAGCTTACTTATTCAAAATGCTTGTTCTGTTTTTCTTCTTCTCTTTCTTCAGAAAGCAAAAGGGGATAAATATCATCGGATGGTCTACATCAGGGGTGTCACACTCATGTTGTCATGGCAGCGTCACATGACGTATCGGGACTTTTTCCCCCCCCCTGCATTAAATCGGGCGTGGGCATGGCCAGCGCGTGACGTATCCAGCCCTCGAGCAGGAAGTTTGACAGCCCTGGTCTAGAGGGTCGCAGTTAAGTAAGGGGAATAAAATGGAGTAAATAGCTGAGAAGTCATTTTGCAGATGTCTCATAGGCTTTTAGGAAACTATCAAAAGGTCTGTACATTCTAACAAGTGAAGTAAGGAAAGTAAACAAAAGGGCCTACCCCAACCCGGGCATCATCATCCAGATAGATGCACTTCAATTTCCAAAACTGCCAGCATCGTCATGCTGGCTGGTAGGAGGATTTAACAAGTTGAAGTCAATACATCCAGAAATTGCTCAGGTCAGGGAAAGCTGAAGCCCTCCCATAGGTTTAAAAAATTATATTGCTTCGGGTTCTTTTTTCTACTTGGAAACATGAAGGACTAGAAACCAGAGCAAAAGCTTTTCAGACACAAATACAAAATATGCCTTTTGAGGATGTGCTACTGGATGGAACCCTGGAGGTCTTTAGCAAATAAGATGACTAGCTTTAACAAATAAGGGTGATGAAGTGAGTTCAATTACATCAATAAGATTATGAAGTTCAAAGATAAAAAGGCAGTGTTGGCTGTAAGTGAAAACACATTAATACAATTTGCACTTTATATCTCTTTCCATCCCATTTCTAACTTTACATAAATTACCATGCCTAATGAAAAGTTCTGGAAAATCTGCTTCCTTTGTGCTTGCTTTAATATAAAATAGAATTTCCAAAAGCATTATTGCTCCTTAAATCCGATAGGAATGCTTATATCCCTTCCCCCTTTAAAATGAATGTACTGCCTCTCAATCCAAATAACAAAATCTTTCTGTTTCTCTGATCATAGGCTCCATTCTATATTATAAAGTTATGCACAAGACTGTAACATAGTAAATATTTATGCATTCATCTATTTACTTATACCCTGTCTTTATTACTTTTATAAATAACTCAAGACGATGAACATAATAATACTCCTTCCTTCTATTTTCCCACAACAATAAAATAAAATAAAGCACCAGTAGAATAAATATAGTAGCCACAACAATAGAATAAAATATAGTACCAGTAATTTATGTCCAATGAAAAAAGAGACCTTTGGGCTACAATTCTTCATCTAGAGTAGAACCACTGTATAGTGCAATATTAATGCAATATCAGGGGTTTTCAATTCAATGTATAGAATGTGAAGGATGTGTGTTTGTGTTTATTTTCATAGTCATAATGTACACAGAAGGTGGTATTTAATTTCTTTGTATGAGGTGCAGTGACAATAAAGTAAAGTAAAGTAAGCTAACATGTGTATTCATAATGTAAAATTCCTTTCCATGAATTTGTACTTGGCTTTAGTTAATGGCCTTCAAATCCTGGATAGCTGAGGTCTGTACTCTCTCCCATGCTACAGTTGAAGATACACAGACCATGAAAAGGAAAAAGAAAAAAAAGAGGACGAAGGAGGTGCCTAGAAAGGAGAAAACCTTTTTCATTTTTTTCTTATAAAATATAGTATCTATCTGACCAACTCAATCTGACAAGATTGGAACACTTCAGGTTCCATCAATTAAACAATGCCATCTATTGGGACTACAGAAACACACAACCGCTCGCTCTTGCTCTCTCTCTTTTTGTATTGGTTCTAGGTTTTTCTATCGTTCCTTATTTTTAAATGTTTTGAACCACCCAGAATCCCTGGGAGTCAGGTGCCATATACATTTTCATCAGCATCTTCATTTGGACTAAACTAGTAAGTATATGCCGAGGTCCTGAAAGCCATAGATATATCTTACAAGGAGTCACACATTGTTTCTGTGAGGCAAAATAAACTCAGCAGAGCGAGGTATCAGGGCAGGAGTCGTCCATGATAACATGACTTTGACAGTCCTCCTCTTGATCTAGTTTGAAGCTGAAGAGGTACGGACGCCCTTATCACCATCTTTTTAGAGCAGCCATGCTTTTTCTTGAGCGTGCATGTAGCTACATGACCTCAGAAATGTAAGTGGAACCAACAAGATGCAACCAAGGAGGCAAGGATGAGCACGCTCCTTAATTCAAACCCATATTTTCTATCATGCAAGCTCAGGAAAAGAAGTGCTGGCAGGTGCAGTCTGTGCATTCATGCCTGACCTGGAGCATCTTTTTTGCTTCAGACCTCATATCCAGCACATCTCTAATGAAGAATCTAAAGAATTCGTATTTCTATTGATACATCCTGAAAATTTCCTTGAGGGGGCAAGTTCCTCACTGCATTTCACTACATCAGAGGTATCAAACTCGCGTTGTCACATGACATATTGTGACTTTTCCCCCTTTGTTAAAACGGGTGGGCGTGGCCAGCACAGGACGCATCCGGGCCATGAATCTTGCAGGGTCCAAATGAAAAATAGCAAAAAATAAATAAAAAACCAGAACACTATTTGCAAAGGAAGATAAAATATAGGATGTGTGCACTTCTGCTCTGTCCCTACCAAACATAGACATGAGAGCACTAAGCCTTATTTAGGAAAAATCTCCGACTCCAATGTCTGAGGGTCACCTCAGAATATACCTGACAGGAAGCCAGGCATGTCCCAATTTTGTGCTGCAATCTAAGTAGAAGACAGAATGCCTAAAGGGGACTAGCACAAGGTCACAAACATTATTCAAGCTTCGTACAAACATCTGCAAGTACTCCACTGGCCAGGGGTGGGATTCTACCAATTCGCACCTATTCACTAGAACTGGTTGTGAACATTCTAAGCAGTTTGGAGAACCGGTTGTTAGAAGAAATTACTGGCCTAATCCTGTAAGGAAGGCAGGAAGGAAACTTTCTGGTGTTGCTTACAGAAACTACTTGTCCATTAACCCTTATTACATTCTTGGCAGGACTAGACTTCCTGTCTCAGGAATGTCTCTGAAGTTCTTTCCCCCTCCTTTGCTGGTACTTTGCTTGTGTGGAGTGACCATTCAAAGTTACAATGGCACTGAAAAAAGTGACTTATAACCATTTTTCACACTTACGACTGTTGCAGAATCCCCACAGTCATGAGAGGCCAGGGGAGGAGATGCGTGCCTCGATGTGAGTGATATTGAGTTGGCCACGCCCATCCAATAACATGACCACCAAGCCATGTCCACCCAGTCACATGACCACCAAGCCACGTCTACCACCTAAGCCACGCCCACAGAACTGGTTGTTAAAAAATTTGAATCCCACCCCTGCCTCTGGCCATCACTTCCTTAGTGAGAAGCCACAAGAAGAGCTCACCACTCAGTGGTAACGTTGAATGACGACTCACCTGTGATATGATGTGATTAGTCATTGCTGGCTGTTGCTGCGGTGTGGCTGGAAGCGGCTGCTGCTGCAGTTGCGGAGCGGCACATGGCAAGAGGCTTCGGCCAGGCTGCACAGAGGAGACTTGACTGCAGGCTTCAGGAGTACTTAGAGAGAGACCTTTGTTAAAAAAACAAAACAAAAAACAAAATGGAGTGGGTAAGTTTGAGCAAAGAGTCTGCTTTTTTTCCCCCCGAAAGAGGTGGTGCCAGGGTTCAAGAGTGCCTAGGGGAAAAAAAAACAGAAGGATTCCAACTCCTTCTTGGTGCTTTCTGAGCTTGTAAAACCATTAGTGCTGGTATCTGTAGCAGAGCATCAAAGGCTCCTCGTTTCAACCCTGAGCTATAAATATTCCCCTTAATTGGAAGAAATGCATCAAAACATACCCCATTTCTACTCAAACCTTACTGTGATTAATTTACCTGATTGAGATATTCTATGGATTGATGCTCAGCCTTTAGCTTCATTGAAACCTGTGTGATAAGTTCAGCTTGTTTTACTGATTTCGATACATTCTTCTGAGCATCTCTGAAGAGTTTAGAAAAAATAGCTCCATAGCAAATTCATTATAGAAAAAGGAAAATTGTGCAATCTTCCATTACTGAAACATCTCTTTGGGGTGTACCAGAAATGATCTGATCATGAAACAGCCTCTTGTAAAGTTATTATATGATCTTCTTGACCATGATAAATTTTATTACCACTACACTTGACATGTTGAGGACAGAATGGGATGTTCCAAAGACATAATGTTTTAACCTTGAAATGATTAAAAATAACATCCTGCATAATCCTATCTAGCACTGAAAAGACTACTGTGAATATCATCCAACCAGCAAATCATATTCTGCAATACAATAATATAATAAAGCAAAGCTGAATTAGGACCACATTTCTAGCTTCCTCAGAAATCTTTAAAAGTATTTTTTTGGGGGGTGGGGTTTGGGGTTGAGTCTGTCTGTCTCTGTCTCTCTCTCTCTCACACACACACACCTACCTACTACTATATTTCTCTTGGTAACAATAAAAATATTTACTCCAAAAGTAGATTTCCATTTAGGAAGAAATGGTTCAAAATAAGTGTAATCCAGAAGATGAAAAACAACATGTGAGCAAGCCATTCCTATGTGTACAATACATTCCAGTCAAAGAATCTGGTAAAATTAGAAATATTTTCATACTGAGTGCAAAGATGATGCTTTATTGAATGCTAGCCATAGTTATTTTCATGTATTCACACAGTTCTTGATTTGAATCAGTTTCACTTAGTGTTGCACTCTGTCTCCAGATCCTTTTAAAAACGCATTAGCTGTACTATACATTTACTTCAAGTAGAATGTGGGTTTTTAAGGGAAAATCTCCATGGCATCCAATCAAGACACATTTTTCACCTTTTTTTTTAAACACAAAACACAAAAAATGGACACATGTAAGTTTAAGCTGTGGAGAAAGGGAGAGCACATGGAGAAAGTGGGGGAGAGATAAAGTAAAATATGCACCAGGATATATATTTTACATATGTTGGAAAATAATTGTTATCTTCAGTGATGTTCCAATAGGTCAAATGCATCAATTCACAACAGTCACACTACAAAACAGATGCAGACTAGGTTTCTCACTATATTATACATCATAATTGATTTTTTTATTACAGGAGGTCCTCAAGTTACAATGGCAATCAGGACCGGAATTCCGTCGCTAACTGATGTGGTTGTAAAGCTCGACATCACATGATTTGCATTGCTTAGCAACAGCAATTCTGTCATACACCCCACTGTCCTCATTAACCAACTCCCAACAGTCACTAGATGAGAACCTACACTAATTCAAACCATTCCCATTTTAGTCCTTCCCATCCCAAACCTCAGTTCTTTTAAGTTAAGAGATTGCCTCCTCTTCAATTCCCTCCAGCAGCCTATTCCCCCTCTTCTCCCTGATTTCAATCCTTCCCACCACCCTGCACACTGCCTTGCAGGACAGCAAATAGCCCCCAAACTGTGCAGCTTTTGGGCTCCTTGTTGCACTGCAACTTGGGGCCTTATTGGCATGCCACGCACTGGAGCTACAGGAAGCCCCTGAAGTGCAGTGCAGCTCAAGGCTCCAGTTGACTCAAGAAGCTGCAAAACAATCGTTTTCAGCTTTTCAAAGGATGCCTGGCATTCTAGAGCCCCTTTAAGAGGCTGGCTGGGTTTAGGCTTGTCCTCCCCCTTTTGCCTTTTAATAAGTCTGTGATGGGGAGTGCGATCTGCGCAAATGAGGGAATGAATTGGCAGTAAAAACTGGCGAAACTCAGAAAACTCTATAATTGCTTACAGCAAAACAGCAGCCGTCCTAGGAAACCCCAGCCGCCCCAACCCAGAGACACGGAACAAAGCCCCTCCGCCACAGCCAACTTTGACATCCTAAATTCTGCGGCTCTTCGCACCCTGCACTCCAACCCTCCCTGCTGGCCTCTGCTTCCATTTTGTTCCTACCACTGCTGATGTGATTAAAATTTCAATTTAAATACTGGGGGGAAAAATTAAGTCTCTTAGAGCTTTGATTTAGCCTGCAATCAAGATATGGTGCCATCTCAAAAGTGGTTAATAAATATCCTGGACAGAATATGAGACAGCCCAAATCTACACAGTAGGCCTCGAGGACAAAGTTGGATTCCAAATCTTATACAATCAAATCAAATATTTGCCTGGGGAAGGGGGAAAAACCAGGATCTGATTATCATCCTATTCTGTATTCCTTCCTCTGGATTACTCTAAGATGAGTCCTTTTTTTATCTCTGGCAAACTTAATATTCTAAACAAACTCCCCTCCCTTCAAAACCCCCCTTTCTTTTCCCTGTACAGGGAAGACTTTCAAAATTCTGTTTCTGACTGTAATGGTATGACCATAATTACAGTGGCATTTGAGCAACAGTAGGCACTAACTAGTTTTTACTCCCACAGGCATTCTTGCAAGGGACAGAATTATCCCCACCACTTCCCCTGATGAATGCAAAGGATTCAGGAAATATATTACGTTTATTTACTTTAAGTTAGAGCCAACAACCAACACTACGCAGATATCAATCCATGTACTCCTTTGGATAACAGCACTAACGCTTATATACTGCTTCACAGTGCTTTACAGCCCTCTCTAAGTGGTTTACAGAGTCAACATATTGGCCACAACAATCTGGGTCCTCATTTTACCAACTTCAGAAGGATGGAAGGCTGAGTCAGCCTTGAGCTGGTAAGAATCAAACTGCTGAACTGCTGGCGGCCAGCAGTCTGCAGAATTAGCCTGTATCACCGTGGCTCTGTTTTGAAATATTATAATGTAATAAATACAACTGCTCTGCTTTGTTATAGCACTCAATGGTTCCCACATTAGAAATTCACTTGTACAAGCTGACTGCTCTAGGGCCCAAGCATAACTCCATTTCTTTTATTTGTCCCAGAAAATCACCGTATAATTAAAGGGCTGATACACATGTGATTGAGAATGTTTTTCCTAGGTGTTTCTGAGATTCATAAACAACTCTATAGGACTCTTGTGGTATATATCCTTATGATATTTGTGCATTGTGATTTAAACTACACACGCAATAAATAATCCAAAACAACTGTGTATGAAGCTGCTTTAGCTTTTCCATTTGTTATATGTCATATTTAGTTAACTATTCAGGTTAACCACCAAAAACACAGAATGATGCTGTTATTACTTATTATAAAATGACTCAGCATGTTCTTACTAATAACTGGTCCCTATTCTCATGTATGGCATATGCAATTTAAAAAAAAAACAGAACACAGGGTTAAAATAAAATAAATAGTAAATGGAAAAGTAATTTGAGATTTTGCTTTATATCTTACCCATATTGCCAGTATTTGGACCTTGGATACCTCTCTGCCTCTTGCTATTAGAGAAGATTCTATATCAATCATAAAATAAAAACATCAAACTAAAAGCCCCTTTCAAAGAGAAGTGTTGCATTTGCTGAAAATAAGTGGTCTTCAAGAACGGTTACTATGCAAAAAAAAAATAACTAAGCAGACTTCTGTTGCAGGAAAATTCAACCAAACCCACCATCTAGTCTTCTTCAAAAGCATATGAAGGATTCACGTGACACAGTCTCTGGTTAAAATATTTATGTTTGAAGAACCAAGCTTTACTCGTTGGCATAAGAAAACCATAGGTTTTGCATGTAGATATGCCATAAACATTTGTACAAGAATCTACATGATTCTTCTTTTGTAAGTTTCTCAGGGGTTGCTCCTAAGGAAGGAAGCATTTTTCATATATTTGCATACCCAACATCAAGTATCTGAATAACCAACAGTTTCTGCACCCAGGAGGGATGGCTGGACAATAACATAAATAGTTCTTTCCAGTTCTGTGACTGAAAGAAACATGATCTCCTTGATTATTAAATCCAGGAAGCTTACAAATGAAATGTGTTTTATCTACATTCCACTGACTGATGGGAACTGTACTCCAAAACTTCTGATGTTTACTGGTTGAGAAGTACCTGCGGGGCCAGGAGAAAGAATTGGTAGCAGGGAAGAGGTTATGTAGTACTAGTACCCAATGAGGAAAATGCTGGCAACGAAGAGGCTTAAGAAAAGGGGATATAAACAAAAACAGGATTAGAATTTCAACCTCCTGAAATCCAGTTGGGTCTGAAATGCCAACCCAGACACAGAAATTTCCTTTTTGCTGCTAATTATGCATTCAAACTCCTACGTTGGGGAGTAGGTAGCACCATGAAAATTGTATTCCGTATCACTCGGGTCTGTGTCTATTATGCTACTACACCAAAATAAGTCCAGCATGAAGGGAAATCCAAGCTGTGTGATCAAAATGTGGCACATCCAATACATTTAATTATACATCTCTTTGATAATACTTTACAAAATAGTACTTTTGTGAGGGCAGAAATAACTACTTGCTTAAAGCCACCCCATGAATTTGCATTCAAGACTTCCTGTCCCACAGCTTCTGCCTTCAGTCACATTCCCACACAAGTTCTTGGTGTTCTTAAGAACTTTTCATTACGTATATATTCATGTACAAGCTGCCATGCAGCACTCCTCCATCAGTCTCTCTTCACATGGGAATAACGTGACAGAGAATAATGGAAGGAGGAAAGGGATGAAACTTGGTTATTTGTGGGTTAATGATGGCCGAACCATTAAAAGTAACTAATGGAGATACAACTAAAGGACCAACATAAAAAGGAGCAGCATTTATTGTGCATTTTTATTACCATTTTTTGTACAAACAAGATAAAAGAAATAAAAAAAATCTGAGAATATGAATCACTAAATCACCCAGCAACACAGTCTATTCTTAGTGCTTTAGTTGTGAACCACACTGATTATTGTGTGCCTGCCTTGATGCTTTCTTCTGTGACTTAAAAAGCTATGTGCATGGCTTTAAAATGGGTGTCAATTAGCTAGATGCCAAAGACAAAACAAAAATGTCAACATTCTTTGATGTGAAGACTAACTTTCCATGCATCTGCGCAACCAGATGGGTGACAGGAGTTTTCTCCAATACCATGCTGACTATGAAGGCAAAGGATCATGTTCGTAAACAAGTACGCCAAAGGGAAAATGCGGCAAAAGAAATAAACAAAGGCATATCAGTGCCTGCCCTTGAAGTAAACAGGGTGAGTAGATGGATGGTTAACTATGAGTCATCTCAAGTGCTGTAGGAAGCAACAGCGAGAGAGGAGGCACAATGTTACTTTGTGCCACCCTCTCTATTGACACATCCCTATTTCTGAAGGTAAGAGGATGCATGAGTACATCTGTAAATGCATCATAAGTATGCTACATGATACAGCAGAGTGATGGAAGAGAATCTTGGAAGTGCATGTCCCTTCACCTGGATGGGAAAGAAATAACAATATGCTGACATACCCATACAAATAAGCAAGTACCAACACAGGTGCTGATGACTGTTAAATAGGACTGAAGGAACTTCTCCACGTACCACTTCTCCTTCAGAAGTGCATTCAATGTTACCAACATCTCCAACCTGCTACCTTGTTGATATTTCAGATTACAGGCTGATCATTTCTCTTACTGACATACTAGGTAGGTGAAATCACATTTCCTAGCCTTGTTTACCTGATGTAAGAGATGTATAGTTCATCTTTCCCAACAATTTTTCAAGAGCCAGCATCATTTTGGGTTGCATAAATGGAAGCTCATCAGGTTTTCTTATTATCTGTTTCTAGCAGGGAATGTCTATAGAGATTCTCAGTCATCCGGGTCATGGTTGTCCCAAAGGTGCTTTTTCAAGCTTCTTGGGTGAGAAGCTAAATGCCTTCAAAGAAAAACCAGAGAGTCCACTTTCCTCTTGAAAAAGCATCTTTGGGTCTAGCTGGGAGTGATTAGAGTTTTTACTGAATTACATGCCAATTAGATAAGAATTATTTAATTAATGAAATTAAAGAATTCAGAAGGGTGATTATTTTTTTAATCCAAGATAATTAGACGAGGCTTATTTTTGCACATCATTCTCATTGATAGTGATCATGTAACAGGGCTTCGTGGTGTCAGCAGCCATCAACACAGAAGCCTGTGCCAGATTCGTATAGTATGGTATGGTACGGTATGACCTATAAACAGTTCAAGGGGAAAAGGGAAAAATGAGCATTATCACTGCAATGTGAATATTCTTTAAAGCTGACACAACACCAATGAGGGGCTTCATGAAATCCAACAAATTAGGGCTCAGAAATAAAATGTCATTGTATTTAAAGCAGTTCTAACTGGATCAAAAAGACAGAAGGTATTTTATCAATATGGCCAGTGTTTTAGATAAGATCCAGACCCAAGTTGCACTTATCAGGCAGAGACTGACTTTTTCTCAACATCTTGATAATCTCTGGAATGGGACAAAAACCTTGATACCCGCTTGTTTCCTGTTGCAGGCTGTTTCTCACAACTGGCACGACTGCTATCCAGCACAAATGTTTCAGTGTGGGCTTCTAGCTGCCTCCTTTTGAATTCTATTATGTTGAGCAGTATCAATGCATAAGATGTGGGCTGGGACCCACTGGAAGGGACACAGAGAGGATTACCCCCAAGATGTATTCATCCCAAACTTAAGAGTTTCTTATTTTACTTGAAGAAAGGCAAATGAAGAAGGAAGAGGTACCTGGCCTGGCAGTCCTGTTGGCGCCATTCCCTTTGCCAATGCCACCAATGCTGTCTCCTCGAGTCAAGATGGAAATGCCACTGAAGCTGCTGGCTTTGGTAACCGGAGGCCGCAGATTGCGCGTCGAGCCATCGGAGTCGGTGCTACTCCACGGTCGGGGCTCCAGGGATTTCATATCACTCTCTGTGCTGCTCTGGCGGCTGCCTGAAGCCCGGCTAAGCCCATCTCGGTTACTCCTGTGTCAGGGATGGCAACAGTTAAAAGTCATCATGGACTGGAAAAAAGGCACACGTCTAAACATTCAAGATGTCTATGTTTTGGTATTGGAACAGCAGACAAATGAGCACAGGTAGCTTACACTGAAAAGAGCCAGCTCAAAGCTACTGGCCTTCAAATAGACTAACGTGTAGGCAGATGGACCTTACAGGCTACTCCTGGAGAAATAGCCAGAATGATCAGCATCACAATATTTGGGGACAATCTCAAGTCAAAACTGCCCTGCAGGTGCACTCATAACAAGTGCTCTAACCAAAAATGCAGGATGAGTTCAAGCATGCCTGTGTCCTGCCATCAGAATTTGGGTATCCTTCCTAACTCAGGTAGCAGGAATTTCCAGCTCTCCGTTTAATTTAAGCAGTGTTAACTATTGGTGAGTAAACTGCAGCATGGGCATTATGAAACCTTTTATTGTGCTAGATAAAGTTTGGAATTTTTCCCTCATGTAGTATGTACCTGTAACTGGTCCTTACAAACACTGTCAAAACACCTCAGGGCTCAAAACATAGAATCTGCACTGCATCACTAAACAAGAGCAAACGGGTGAGAATTGGGAGCATAGCTGGAAGAAAGTGTGAAAATACTGGCAGTCTAGTTCGTATGTGCGAAGGTACAAATGGAAAAAAAAGATTGTTCCTAAATCTCAGGGCAGAATTAGACAGCTTAAATCAGAGGAAGTTTATTAAAATTATAGGGAGTTACAGAACAGCGAGAACAGCATAAATGTTTCAGCCTCCAAGAATACAGTTTAACAATGATTCTCCAAGAAAAACAATTCAGAAGTAAGTGGGGAAGGACAATCAAAGTATTTAATATTGAAAGTCATTTAGCAAAACTTAAATTGGCTAAAGGGACATTCATAGGTTTGGTACTGCTTGCCCAGACTGAGATTATATTAGAATTCACATAGTTTGAAACTGAAATATACATAGCCAACACCATGTTGTACCCCAAGGCTTTGCACAGGTTCTTTTGGGTTCAGACTTCATGTTTACAATCCCCGGGAATAGAAGCTGATTGTTTTTAAATACCAAATGCCAACTAATACAACTCTATTAACAAACTACTAATACTGGCATACAGGCCTGGTTTAGATAAGAGTGCATTGAGAAGAGGGGGGGGGGAAAGGCTCAGTACCCAATGATGGAAGAAGAGGAAAGGAAGGATTTATTGATCCAGTAGATATAAAATGTGTATCTTTTTGCAGAGATGCTCTTTAGGTGTAACTATCTTACATCTTTGGTTTTCGGTTTTCTTCTATAATGTTTTGCTTTTAAACTGTTAAGTTTAAAATGATTTGATTTTGTTGCACCTGAAAGAGCTCTTAAAGGATGCTCATTCAAATTTCACTGAATTTGTAGAGGAACAGCTGCATATTCACAATCTTCCTCCCTTCTTTTTCTCTAAGTGGATATCTTATTATTGAAGGTGATCAATTCTAGGAGGAATTCCTCCAGCTTCTTTGTGAACTCCATGGGTTCAATCAAGTTTCACATTAAGACTTATACTTTGAATACATAAATGGTAGCCCAGACACTGACACTGCTACTGCTAGGTGGCCACGTTCCAAACTTGAATAAAGGACTTCAGCCAGATGCAGAGATAACAGGAGGCTGCCTTTCAGTCCAAAATAAACCCTCCCCTTCCCACCCACCACCCACCCCCTTCCAAAAAAAACCCCATACTTGCCAAGTTGAAAAGAGCAATTCAGAGTTTTGGTATTTTGCTTACTTAATTCCCCCATCACATGTCAAGATTGGAAATATTGGGAACAGGTGATTTTGGTTTGTCAATATTAAAATGAGGTAATCAGACTTTGGGGGGAAAAACCCTACTTCAACCATCTGAAAGGATTGGGTGGCAAAATGGGCGCTAAACCTATTGTGGCAAATTTGAAAAGTCAGTCTATCATTACAGATATTGGCAAAAGAGACTATTCTGCTAATCTCTGTGGAATACAGAATGTACAGATTTCTACTGCACAAAGCCTGTATGACAGAACAATGGGGAGTTTTCAAACCAGGGAAGTAAATGTAGAACCTAAAGACTACCACAGTGAGGAAAGTTGTGGGGCAGGGAGAGAGATAGCCATAGTCATTGACAATGGCTTACCAAACAAATGTTGAGTCAGTAAGTATTTTAATGTCTCCATTATCATCAGAACAGAACAGGAGAAATGTATCTACAGAAGAGATTAAACAACATATTCTGTAACTTGAATGTCAAGTTACAGAAACTGGCTGTATTTTTGAGATAACTAAGGCAACCTTCAAGCCTATTTTACAAAAAGCCAGGGAGTTATTTTATCTAGACAGCATGGGAAGGAAAGTTGAAGAGTAGTGTTGATCTGTAGTGTTCATTTCTAGATGGCTTATCCAGAACAACTTTCACACATTAAGAGGCTTCACTTGATTAACAACCTTTTATCACTGTTTACGAACAGATACAAGCTTCAGAGAACAATGGCCTCCATGCTGAGTGTCCCCCAACAACTTGAAATTCTTAATTGCATCTTACAAGTTGAAAGGAAGTTGTCATGACTACAGAAGAATTTCTCATCTGTAGATCGTTTTGTTCTGGTTAGGTTTCAACAAATTATCCCAAAGTTCTAATAACCAATCCTAAGAATGTTCTGGAAAGCACACGAGGCAACCTCATAAGGCAACTGAGTTCTATGGCTACTATTAAAGGTAACGCAACCAAAGATAGATTCAGACGTGGGACACAGTGTCTGAGAACAAATTCCTGTATGCCTCTCTAGTTCAACTCTGATAGGTACGGTTTGGTCTTCAATGTTCAAAATTTGCTACTCAAAAATTTGCTACTTGACCAAATATTATATTTTATAATCACAAAGCAAAAGCACTTACATCATGCCATACAGACTGTTCTTATTAAAGTATATTAAATTAGTCCACACAATTTAACTGCTTGTTTTCCCAAGATAGCAAAAGCAACATCAATAGATGAGTTACATGCTAATGGTAACCATGGAAAAAGAGTAACACAAGAGAAGAATGAAGAAATCTTTGGTCCTGCTCCTATTTACACATTTACTTCAAGAAAGCAGAAAATTACTGCTTAAGCTTTGGCATCACAATTTAGGTTTTGCAAGGTTCTTTTCTCTTATATTCTTAAAAAGAAACTTTAGAAAAAGTAATTAGGATTTGGTCCAGTGTATCTTGGACTCTGCAAATTCATCCAATGAATATCAGTTTTTAGACTTGACATTTTCCAAAGGTTTACATTCTATTCATGGAGATATTACACTTTTAAGAAATTACAAACAAGGTCTTTTCTTTTCTTTTTTCTTTTTCAGTCAGCAGTTTCAAGCCAAACTACTACTAACATTATAATTTATTTTTTTCCTCCCAAAGTCCTTCAACTTTAAACTACAAATCTCAGTATTTTTTTCCATTTGATTTTTTATCAATTCATTTATGTCCTAATATTTCAATATCTATGAACATCACGCCCCCCCCCCAAAAAAAAATAGCAGTTCTGTCTGGTGTGTGTTTCATGTGTCTTTTCTTCTGTATTTTAAAGCCCAAGATTCTGACCTCCTCACTTTCTTTTTCACATGTATGTTGCCAGTAACCTTTTTTTAACAGAAAAGCCAAGTTTTCTACATAAAGTATAATTTTTCTAGCAATTTCATGGCATTGGTAATAAACTCTGGGCAATTCTTCTGCAGCAGCTAATGAGATGACCTACATGTTCATCTTTGATTTTATGCAGTTGGTATTTGCTGCACTTTAAAATATGTCCAATTTTGGCTTTAATGATTCGTAGCCTGTTGTGCTGCCATGATGGTTCTTCTGTACTTTTTCTTTTAAAGAATTCCAGCTTTTAGCTGCAGCCAAGTCAAATATTGATGTGATTTTCCCTTCAATGTCATATATATAAATATTGACTATGAAAAAAATTAAGATTTTCTGGGCATTACATTCGTTTTCATTGCTTCATTTTTGTAATCTTTGTAGTATTATTATTTTCTGTTGTTGATCCTGCTGCTGCTATCCTCAACCTGCACTTGACTTATTTTAATGAAGTGACTGAAAGGAGCAACCTGAGACTGTATCTTGGCAAAATATAAGTTGTTATTGACATATTCAGCCAGGGGAATGGCACTCCTAAAGTGAACTTTTTACTGAAAAGGTAATGTGTGTTTGTATGTAATCTAGGTATTTTTGCTCTCATTTTCGTAGTTTGAATGGTGTTCCTCCCCCCGGCACTATCAATAGAGCTCAACTGAACTTTGCTTCTTTGCTCTGGCTAGTAAGCAGGCTCCAAACCTCAAAGGCTCTAAAATTATAATCATACATATTTACCCAAGATATTTTGCAAAGGTTCTACCGCCCTGAGCAACAGATGATCCCAAGATGGAGGGCCCTTTCTCATAATGGCATCCGGAACAAATGTAAAGTCCTGAAACCATCCTTGGGGACTTGGGCTGTGACAAGAAGACGCCTGGGTTTCTTAAATAAGTTGCAGAAATCTGGGTGACTGGGCTTTTAAAGCATGAGCTGATTTTGCTAGTGCAGTTTCAACATTTCCGTGCGGCTGCTTTACGAATGTATGACTTCGGGTCTTATTTGATATTTACTTTCTAAACATCTCCAGTGTAAGTTGCTACAAGGCATTGTGTTTGCGGGCAGCATGTAGATGCTGAGACCTGGATCCCTCCCTTGCCAAGGCACTTCTGAGAGGAACAGGAGTGGTCTGAGAGTGTACAGAGAGACTTCAAGAATCCCCCCATTAGCCTGTCCCTTCACTTATTTGAAGAAAGTTGATGCCTGCTTTTATAATGCATTCCTGGATTCCAGAAAAAAACATCAATGTCGACTGTTATTATTGCTATTGTTGTTCTTTTAAAAGCATAATTAAACTACAGCGAGAAGTAGACTTAATTTTCTCTCTTCATTGCAAAGGTTCTTTTCAAAGAATTGTTCAGCTCAACTACCCTGCTGGCACACAATGACTGCTCCATCCCTTTGAAGAGAGAGGCTACAGATAGGTATAGAGCCATAGTTCAAAGCTATTAATCCCAGGCAGCTTCTCCATACGGGGCTGAGAAAAACTCCGGTCTGAACCATCAATGAATGAATGAAGACACAGCCAGTCGTCTTGAGGTGTTTGAATCAATGATCTGGCTTGGTATAAAGCAGCCTCCTATGCTGAGCCATATGAAATTTATTTGAAGAGAACAAAAGACAGCTTAAAATTTGACCCTGTGCTTTTTTTACTGACACCCACTTCGTCACATAAAGTTAAAGAAAACCAGCTGAATTACAAGATACAGAATTACATCGTCTAGAACAGGGCTGTTGAAATTGATTTCCTTGATGGCCCCATAGGGGTTGTTTTTGACCTCGGGGGTTCGGGGGTGGGGGTGGCGGCCAGGGGGCATGGCTACCTTGATGTCACTCATGTGGAGGAGCCTGTGGTGGCCCCAGCAAAACAGGCTCCAGATCTCAGTTTTCGGCTGGGATGGCCTCCTACAATCCTCTGCCAGAGAAAACAGAGCTTATGAAGCCTCCTGAACTCCATTTTCGCTGGCACTGCAGGCCAGTCCTTCGCTGTTTCCAGGGAGGTCCCGCAGTCCGGATCTAAGCATCCCAATGAGCCAGATCCGGCCCACAGGCCTGGAGTTTGACAAAACTGTTTTAGAAGCATCAGTAGATCGTGGGAGCAGTTGCACAGCTGCAGAGACTGGAGTGTTTCTGGGTTTTTTCCATCCATTTCCCTATCCTAGTTCTTTGTAAGGGCTTCAACCTGAAGCTAGCTTACTCAGAAGACAGCTGCATGGGAAGCAAGAGAATTTACTCCCTCAGTAAATGTTCTGAAACACCCTCCCCCACAATGAAATGTCTCCAAGCACCCTTTTCTATCTTACTGTGGGAGAAGAGAAAAACAGAAAGTGATGTTGCAAAAGAGATGACAACTCGAAGGACTCGACAAGCAGCCATGCATGGGTGCGAAATTTGCTCTGCAAGACAAATGTATGCAAGGAATCACACAGAGGTACCTAAAGATCTGTCGCCTTTTGTGAGAGCTAGAAGAAAAGCCTTCTTTGGCGAGTCTGTTGGTTAACATCAAAGAAAAGCATTGTTACGGAGTTTCAGGATCTTCAAGAAAGGCTGAAGATTAGAAGAAAGCATGCACAAACTTTACTCACCTGCTTTCATTCAGGAATCCATTTTGGCCCGACTAACGGTCAAGCGGAGCCGCACAATTTGAAACAGAAATGGAAAGAAATCTCATTAGATAATGATTACGGCAGGCTGAAATCAAGATGTATCTGAACATTCCAGACGGGCTCCTAAAAGCCCTGTTAAAACTTTATATCACGGCTACAACTACCGGGCAGAAAATCTATAATGGGGGAGGAAAAAAAATCATGCTCATTTGACCTTACACAAGCTCTGAGATCTGTAATTTATATTAACCTTCGTAGTCCTCAATTTGCAAGAGATCATTTAGTGACCGTTCAAAGTTACAACGGCACTGAAAAAGGTAACTTGTGACTGTTTTTCACATTTATGACCATTGCGACATCCCCATGGTCATGTGATGAAAAAAAATCGGACGCTTGGCAACTGACTCATATTTATGACGCTCGCAGTGTTCCGGGGTCATGTGATCCCTTTTTGTGAACTTCTGACGAGGAAAGTCAATTGGGGTGTGTGCTGTCCAGCTAAGACGCTCTACACGGGCAGATGTCTTCACAACATCCATTTCAACCGCTTGTCAACACCCCTTAGAACCGTTGGAAGCAAGAGTACCTGTCCACCCTAAACAGCCACCAGAAGCGACCAGCAGACTTTCACCAAGTCGCTCTACACCAGACTGGTCACCAACCTAGTGATGCCGAAGAGAAAGGCTGAACTTGAAGATTGAACCTCAAGCTTTGCATGCTTTGCTTTGTTTGATGCTTTATTAATGTTTACTGTTTATCTTAAAGTTTATCTATATAGTTAACTGCTATTCAGTTAGTATTACTCTTTACTGTTTATCTTAGTTATACAATTACTTGCTCTTTAGTTAGTAGTGGAATTTATAATTCCAGGCAGGGAGCGTGCTGTCCAGCCAGTTATAGTTAATGGGAATTTTTATAGTCAGTTAGGAATTGGGAGCTGTCCCCTTAAGGGAATGCATCATGGTAAATGTAGTTAAGGTATCCTGGGAAATGTAGTTCATGTCATGTGGCCGCATCTGTAATCCTGATTGGTCACTGAATTGACCTTTGGTGGGTTGGGGGAGGTTTCTTCACTCTTGCCTGAACCCAGCCTCATGCTAGCATCTCTATCCCTGTTTCTACGATATGGGATGAAAGGGATAAGAAATAACCATCTTTTTACCCAGAAAGACAGATATGCAAAGAATTGGACATTGAGAAGAATCTCATCATAACTGTGAGTTATCTTGAGGATGCCTGATGAACCAATAAAAGGACTTTGTATGGCTGCTTTGTGGAGTTATCTGCCTTTATACATTTTGTCAACAATTACAGAGGGCAGAATAGGGGGGTTGGGGCAGTGCTACTATGTTAAGTGTTACTAAGTTAACTTTTGTGGAGATTCACTTAGCAACTGTGACAAGAAACGTCATAAATGGGGCAAAACTACTTAACAACTGTCTCACTTAGCAACAGAAATGTTGGCATCAATTGTGGTCGTACACGGAGGACTACCTCAGATACCGCATAGGTAACTATGAAGAAATTTGGCGGCAGTCCTCCAACAGTGCTTATGAACCCATTTGAATTTTCAATGTTTCTACAAAATATGACCTAAAACAGTTATCTGTTCTCCACCAAAGTCTTAAAAAACAAGACAAAGAAAATATCATTTTTTTAAAAAAATGAAGCCAAAAATATACTTGTATATTTACTTATTGAGGAAAATGGCCTAAAGCTACCTATTTGTGTGTATTATATAGTAATACACAATAGTAACTGCTATTCCCACACTTGGGTAGCAATAACTCCAAGAACACCTTTCCAGGAATTGTTGATCACTCCTGTACATCAGCTTACAAAACAGCTTCAACTCTGGGCTGTGGTTGGGCCTCCTCACACGAACTGCCCACTTCGGGTCTTTCCATAACGTTTCTATACAACTAAGGTCAGATCCTGGACTTGGCAATTCCAAAATAAGCCATTCTTCGGTTACATGACTTGTGTGCTTTGGGTTGTTGTCTTGCCATATGACCCAGTTTTTCTTCAGCTTCAGTTCATGGATACAGTAGCTCGTTTTCCTGAAGAATTTTGTTGGCATAATTCAGAATTCATAGTTCCATCAGTCATGATAAACCATCCGATAAACCATCCTTATCCGGAGGCAGCAAAGCAGGCCTATACCATCGTACAGATAGTCCCCGATCTGTGACTGTTCACTTAATGACAGTTTGAATAAATGATAGCCTCAGAAAGGGTGCTTTACATCCTGTGAAGCATTTCCAAATGCTTGCAAAAGATCGCTCCCCGCCATCGTCACATGAATGCAACCTGGATATTTGACAACCTGTTAGCACATACACCCAATTGCAAAGCGGCCCACAATAATGTGATCACCATTTGCAATCTTCTCTGATGCCTTCCCTAGAAAGTCCATTGGGAATCTAACAGTGAAGGTTGCAAACTACTAATCCCAATCAAGAAGACTCCCTCTTGTCTCTGGAGGCTGGTTGAAAGAGCTGCCTACCTAGGGATTTCAGCTCCATGTCTACTTGGATTTCAGCAATCCGAGCAAACATGGAGCTGAAATCCTTCAGTAAGTAGCTCTTTCAGCCAGGCCCCAGAGACAAGAGGTTTACATACTTTTACCACCCACAAATATGTACCTTTGAATCATTTTCCTCAATAAATCAATAAACAAGAATAATTTTTGATTCATTTGTTGAACTGAGTTTTCTATGTCTTGCTTTAGGACTTGTGTGGAGAACAAATTATGTTTTAGGTCATATATATGCAGAACATTGAAAATACAAAAAGGTTAATAAACGTTTAAGCACCACTGCATTTCAAAAATTCCTGATGGCTAGGGAAAAAAAGAGAGATAATTGCATTCCTTAGAAATGGCAGAAACAACTTTTACTTACAAGTCTGGATTATTATCCCTTTTGTTCTCCCTCCCTTTCCTGACACTAATGGTTTTCTCGTACCATCATTACAGCAGGCCATTATTGGGAGTACACTGCTCTAACTTCTGAGAGCTAATGGCTTTGCTTCTTGGTATCAGAGCGCAGCTTACTCGTCTTGTTGGGACTGCTAAGTGTATCTTGGCCTCAAGGTTGGATTAGATAAAATTCAGCTGCTTAACTTGATCAACCTTCTGTTTCAGTGTCTTAAAATCTCATAAAGAATCTTCACAATTGTAGTGTATTTGCAATTTCCTGGTGATTCCTGCTTGCGCCCCAGCAAACATATAATGATTCAGTGTTTGATTAAACACAAATCAACTTATGGATACATAGAACATTGAGTATCTTCTCGGTCCCATCAAAATTTATCCATGCTTACCTCCCGTGCAAATATGCGTTCCCTAACCCTCTGATATTCCTCCTCTCGTTCTTCTATAGATTTGCTCCTTCGTCCATCTTGCAGCGGGATCCTAATCTAATGACAAATAGAACTTTGTTCAGTTACAGCCTTACTCTGTGCCAAACCGAGCAGCAAACCTTATGCATACAATCAGCAAGAATCATGAATTATTTAAGCTGCTTAGATTTTCCTGGGTAGATTAGTCTGCTTTGAAAATATTTCTAGGTTTTGAAGAGCATTTTTAAAGCCTTTCATCACAATATTTGTGACATACAAAAACTAAGATGTATTTTGCTTTCAATCATAGTTGGTAGTTTGCATGTATAAATCAAGCTCATACAATCCACGTAACAGGCAGCTTGGCAGGCACAACATGACCTCACCTTCAACATTATAACACAATACCTAAATCTAAGTATCCCGTTAAACTGCAAGCTATCCTTTTTGGTTAAAAGGAATACCAATTTAGCATGTTCCCTTCTTCTCTAGTTCATCAGAATCGAAATAATCTCTCAGAAAAAAAAGATACTCTCAGGTTCAACAATTGAAGCTAAACCTTATTGTTCTTTAACTTAATGAAAATATAAAACCATATAAAGAGCCCCACTGGATCAAGGCCACTGCCCATCTAGTCCAGCATTCTTTGTTACAAGTGGCCAATTAGATACATTCTGGAAAGCTCACAAACATAGATTGTATGGATTTTTCACTGTTACTTCCTTGATTTTGTTTACTTCAGTTTATTATTTGCAAATGATATTTAAGGGATATTGCTTGTGATTTCAGAAATATTAAAGAGTGGTCACTGATAGCCTAATGTATCAAGTATTTGTCAAATTCCTTTAAACCAGGGGTGTCAAACTCGTGTTGTTAAGGTAGCGTCTTGACTTGTTTTCTCCTTCACTAAACTGGGCGTGGCCAGCGCGTGATGCATCCGGCCCACAGGCCACGAGTTTGACAGCCCCGCTTTAAACTGATGTGCTATAATTCATCTCCAGTGCCCCAAATTTCCATTAATGACTGTGTGGTATAGTCTTTCTTCTATTTGTCCTGAATCTCTCCACATTTAGCTTAAATGACTGGACCCATTTTCAAACATGGTAAGGAAAAAGAATGGATTGCATGAAGTTTGTACGTACAAACTTTGGATACTGTAATTAACGCTTTGCATGTTGAGTTGAATTTTGCAATCCATTCCAGCTCTTCTTGGAACTCCCCATAAACCCTTTTAAAAAATATGATTCTATGACTCTCCTATCTGAAAACTAAACCAGAAAAAGCTTCTTCACCATCCTTCCTGCAATATTTTAATTCCCAGTCAATATATCCAAATCTGTATCATGTTACTAGGAATTACAAGTTGTTGTCCCATCACTGCCAGAAGGCACCAGATTAGAGAGAAGGCTGCTTTCCATACAAATATGATTCAGGCTGAATGATATAAAATATCTTGTGGGAACTTAACCTAGTAAATAAATATTGCAAAAAAGCAGTATGAGTAAAAAAATAAAAAAGCCCAAATGATGAAAGTCAAGAAAAGTGATCACTGTGCTTCAGAATTATGGAACACCATCAGGTAAAGTTATATATGGCCTCTCTTACCTGATTATCATCTCGATCAATGCTGGTATCATCTCGCTTGAGGATAAACCTCTGTGGAAAATCAGTGTTCTTCTCATCTTTGATGTGTTCAGAGAACCTCTGCTCAGGGCTGCGGAGAAGACCCAAGCCAATTTTTAGCAGATGAGATGGCGAAGCAGTCAGGATGCAAAGAAGTAATAGATTTATTCATGTGCCTATACACCAATGCACCTATGAGGAGACACTAGGTTCACAACTGGCACATGCCAGATTTCAGCCAAACAGTCCTCTCCATTCCCTAAGAGGCTTCCCTTTAGACCAGGCCCCAATCTGTGGACGGTCCTAGTCCGCAGCATGCCAGAAACCAGTCCGCACAAACAAGCGAAGCCCCCATGTAAGCAGCACATGAAACCACGCCCCTCTGGTCCGTGGAAGAACCTCTCTCCACGAAACCGGTCCCTGGTGCTCAAAAGGTTGGGGGCCATTGCTTTAGACTATGTTTGGTCTATCCTTAATACTGGTATATCTATACTATACAGATCAGCTCAAATTTTATCTAGGTAAAGCTTTATACATGCAACAGAATTGCACCCAGTTTTACTAAGTTTTCGCCCAATAAGAAGCTTTGCGGGGGGGGGGGGAGGGGGGCGGGTTCAGAAATATTTGTCTCAGTGAAGCTAGAGAAAATTTCCTAAATAAAATTTGATACTGAAGTGCTATTTCTGGTAAAAATAATGCTTAGTGGGACAGACGATATTCTTTTCTTTCCAGCTAGGTGCATATGAACTAGATCCTGTAGCCTAAAAATATCTCAAAGCAGATGCATTTTCACCTTTGTTGCTTTGGGAGTGGTTCTGCAAAGCAACCTACCCAGCAAAGCAACATAAAACGTTCTTTATGGCTTAAAATGAGGAATTTCAATTTGAAAACGGGTACAGACTTTGGAATCATTCAAAGATCACCAGAGCCGTTTCTCTATTGGGAAGGAGGCAGAAGAGCTTGATTCATTTCCAGTTCAAATAATGTCTAGGGAAATTCATCCACTTTCCACTGAGTTCTTGTATTTGGATTTTGTTCCCTGCCTCCTCCTCCTCCTCCTCCTCCTTCTCAGCCCTGGGATACTTATAACCTTAAGACTGACGAGAAAGTCAAAACTGTGTCTTTTTAAAGGAATTCCAAACTGTGGCCTATAGATACTGAGATTCAAACAAAAAACAAGAAACTCATGCTTGCAGGCACTTCACATGGCAGTTTTAAAATGATACCTAGCATTAATGCCAACATAACACAGGACCCCTCTAGGAAACTCCACCATACTCTGTAGAAAACACGAGAGGAAAAATTATCTCCTGTTTCCTACTTTAAGAGGAAGCAAGAAAATAAGGAAGAAAGCCATAGCATTTTAGCTGCTTTTCTTCCTTCAATGGGAAAAAAACAGAAGAATGAGGGAAAGGGTTTGTGACCAGGAAAGGAATTATGTCTTTTTGGACATGTGGGCTGTGTCTGATAGATGTTTCCAAGCAACTAGAGGGCACCATGCTGCCTGTCAAAATTTTAGGATAGCACTAAACTTCTATACATCACTTCACAGGATAGACTTATATACACCACTTCACAGTGCTTTCCAGCCCTCTCTAAGCGGTTTACAGGGTCAGCATATGGCCCTCAACAATCTGGGTCCTCATTTTATCGACCTTGGAAGGATGGAAAGCTAACCATTGCACCATCACGCATAAGAGCAATCACTAAAAGGCTGTCATAAAGAACTTTGACTGACATATTTCATTTCTGTCATTAATCAATTAGGCACTACAAAGGGAAGACATAAATAATCTCAAGGTTGCAACAAACAGCCTGCACAAGAAGCAGTAAAATATGATGGTCCTGATGGTATCTCATAACTTTATAATAGTGGAATTAGCTAGTAAGAAAGAGCTCTGACTATTCCGAAGAGCAAAAGAAATGTTAAAGGACCAAGACTGTAATTTATTTCCCAGTTACCCCTTCCTATCTGAAATGCATTCTTGCCTTACATTCTTGTGTTGCCGGTCTTGTTGATAATGACAGCTTTCCCCGTTTGGTCTACGTTGTGGTCCATGCCAAAATAGGCAGCCACCCGGTGTAGAAGCATTCTGTGGTATGAGGTCATCTGAGGAAACTTCTTAAACTGATTGCTGACCACAGCAAGGGCAAAGAGTAAGACAATAACAAATAAAAAAAAATAAAAGCCATGAATCATTAGGTTGCTTCAATTAAAAATGTCATCTCAGAGTTACTTATACCTGAAGTTCTTTACAAAAGCAAGGGCACAATGAAGCAACCCTGACTTTAAAACCTGGCAAACTAGGTACAGAACGAAAAATGCGAATGCCTGATTGCCCTGTCATTACCTGAAATGCCCTAGGCCTATGAAATGAAACAAAATGTTAGCTGAAGAAGAGAGAGACTGATTGTGGGCAGTAACAGGTTCTACAGGACATATTCAATGGACATAAACACTTTCTAAAATATAGCTACCTGCAGAGAGCATCCTGGTGTGGTATGAGAGAAAAGTCTGTAGAGATTCTCAGTCATCCAGGCCGTGGTTGTCCCAAAGGTGTTTTTTCAGGAGGCAACTGGACTTTGTTTTTTCTTTGGAAGATGTTTCTCTTGGAGAAGCGAAATCTCTTCAAAATTGAAAAGAAAGTCCAGTTGTCTCCTGAAAAAGCACCTATAAGGGAAAAGGGCATTTAGGGAAGAGAACAACTTGTGGACATTCATTTTTGACCTTTCAGCGTCTCTTGAAAAGTCTAAATCAAAACTAAACAGGTATTTGTCAACAGTTTCATTTTCTACTGCAGTTGAAAACCCAGCAACCAGAAAAACCTAGAACTGTGCAAGTCACCTGACAGGCTCAATTTTACAGCCATTTTTAGAACAGTCGCAAAGCGAGTCACTGTGGTTTTTAAATGAATCATGTGGTTGTTCAGTAAATCCATTCTTCCGAATGGTGAGATTTTTTTGCCAGAAACCAGCAAAAAATGTCAGAAATTAGTAAGTAAAAAAAAAGTTACATGTTGTAGTCGTGTGACTGTGGGTCATTCGAACCAGTTATCAATGCAAATGTTGCCAAATGCAACAGGTGACTATGGGGAAGAAAGGCAATCTCAACTTCAAGGATGGGTTGTAAGTAGTTTTTTTTTTAAGTTCATTGTGACTTCACTCAGCCATTAAGCAACCAGTTGTAAGTCCAGGACGACCTGTAGCATCCATCAATTGATGCCTGCTCTCCTAAATTTACCATCTTCCCTAACCTGGGCCTGCAAAGCCCAATGTTTTCTTCTTCTGATCATTCTTGAATTGTAATTATAACACGTCTGCAGAACAAATAAGTATTGGTTTCCATAGCAGTAATCCTCAACTAGATCTTCCTGAAAACTGAACGTGTGGGCAATTGGTCATTGGCTCCTTGGTCATTGGCTCCGTGGCAGTTGGTGGGATGAGTTATCAGAGACATACCCTCATTCAGCAAATTGAACAAGGAAAAAGGTCAAGCCAAAGGACTATAGAAAGCATCCATTCATTTAATACCAATGCGGGCAACTAAAACCATCACTAGCAACTTGGTAATATTGCCTCACTGATACAGTATTTAAAATGTATTAAAATCATTGACAATCCAGAAAAATCTTCTCATCTCTATTAGTGGTTCATTCAATACACTTGTGGACTCTAAGATGGGCACTGAAGCAACTCTTCCCATAGCTTTTATGCAATGAATGGCTTGCACAATCAATCCATTTTTAGTCATGTTTACTAGCTCTAGGAATAATAACTTAAATATTGATATATAATTATATTAATATTATAGGCACATATACCTATGTATTAAGGTGCCCAACATCATTTGGCACCAGCTGACTGATAAATACTGAGGGAAATAAACTTTCTAAAATATGAACCGTATCATAGCTCTTGGTTGAATCTTGGTATATTCTGCCCCAAATAAACAACTGTCTGACAGTTGAGTATATGAGTTATTTCATTTTATGACCACAATAATTCTAGAATTAGACTGGGCCAATTACAAGGACTTAGTAACAGTAACCCAATAATCAAAACTGCAAATCTATAACTCTCCAGTCAGACCTGTTCATATTACACTTCTTTTAGCCAGTTGAATTAGTGATTTTCAGCTAATTGTAAGAGGTTGGCTGGGTATTACATGATTAAATTACATATACAATCTATAGGCATGCACACATGCATACACTGATTATAGGCCACTGAGGCTTAGCAGACGTATTTATTATAGACTCTAAGATAGCTTTATTGTAAAGGGTTGGAAAGTTCCTTGACAAATAAATGAATAGCTGCACAGTCAATTTAAGATGTTTCTAGCACAGAAGAAGATAATGATAAGCCAACTTTGTTTTTATATCAACTTTTTATTATGCTGAATCCAGAGAAAACTGTTCAAGCTGCAATTGATGCAGAAATGTTCACAGGTGTAGCAATATGGGTGGCTGTGTGAAAAGGGTAAAAATGCTGCCCAGAAGAAGGAGATGGCTTTTGACTGCACGGTTGTACTGCCCTCTTGACTTGGTGGACGTTCCAAGGGATGCCCTGAATTTTTGTGCAGTAGCAACAGCTGCTTGTGCATTTAACTATGACTGGAAGGCCAAAGCTGAAATTCCCATTTAACTCTAATGCCTTCTGAATGATCGAGAATAATTCCGAAGATAAAACTGGGGTGGGAGAAAAGAATCTTGAAAGCTATCCTAAGCTGCTTGGGAGGAAACGAAAATGAAACAAAATGTACCAAAATGGCTTTGTGGGTTGTTGTTGTTTTGTTTTTTTGCTGCTGGTTCAATTAGGAACCAGAGAATTGTATAGCTGGGTATAACGTCAACTACATTCAGAGACATTATTCTGAATCCAGACGCAGAGTTTAAAGAGTTATTTGTAAAAATGACTAAAGGCAGGATACACACAAACAAACAAGGAAATGGAAACTCCATAGTTGCTCTATAGCAGTCCTGGAAAAAAACAAAAAAACCTGAGTGGGTCATACATGCAAATATACTAACGCTTAACCTGTTGAGGAAAAGAAGAGAAGGAAAGAGAGCACCTGCACTTTCAACAAATGGATTATTTCCATCTCAAGACAAGAAAGCTTGTGGTCTCTACAGTTACCCTTATTCATAAATCAACCTGCCTTACTTACTTGTTATCATTAATAAATTCCAGGATCTCCTGTTCTAATTTTAGCAGCATCATCCTATCCCTGTTAAAAGAAAATCAAGGGAGAAATAAAGCAAAACATTCAGTGCAGAGAAAGAAAAGTCCCTTGACAAAATCTGCAGATTTATGTCTTCCTCTTTTTTCTAATATTAAGCTAAAAGCTCAAGGTGATTCAACAACAAAGGCACTGTTACCTGTTCTGCACTGACAGATGCAAAACAGATGTAGCAAGTTAAAAGCAGTATTTATTTTTTTTGTTCAGGCAAAATTCATTTCTGCATAGAGACGAGAAGCATTACAACCTATAGGCTCTCATACAATTTCTGTTATTAAAGAGAAACAATATTATCAAAACATAACTAACGTGAGGCATTCAGTTTTGATACTGTTTATTAATGAAACAGAAGCAGAGTAGAGGAATTGTTTAAAGGAGGGTTTTTTAGAATTATCACTATTCTTTGTAACCGTGTAACTCATGCCCATTTCCCCCTTTCTGTTCTTGCATCTATAGTATATAGTAATTTCTATATATCTATATCTATATATAATATATATACTATACTATACTATACTATACTATACTATACTATACTATACTATACTATACTATACTATA